CATAAACATGTTTTGTACCTTCCCAGTTTATCTCATTCAAAAGAACATGCATCTCAAAAAGAATATCTCTCTGATCTACTTTGTGCAGAAAAAGGATTGACAATGTATATACAGAGAGCCATTTGTAACTGTGGCACCATATTAAGGGTTCAAAATCCTCCCCTTAATCAGATTGGCTAGCACTTTTGGATGGGATTTGTCATTCTTTGCAATGACAAATTCCACCCAGTAGACTTGTTTCTGAAAAGTTTACCTATCTTACAGATACTTTTGGTACTGTGTCTTTGAGTAAATTCTTGAACCAAAATGCACCAATAGCTATTTTATACAAGAGTCCTTACAGTCCTGAACCTTTTAAAGATTGAAAAATTGGCCACTAGGAAATTTTCTGTGGATTGTACTTTTTGAAACAAACAAAAAATCTGAAGTCCACTTATTTGTGTTTCCTCAAGCCAGCCAGATATATGCATAAACAATTATAGCATTTCATTTCATTATCTAAAGTAAACCAAAATAACTTCCCTATTTTGGGGGTTCGGATATATCCAAAATCTGAAGGTGTGTCTAGTTACAATGGTAGACGTGCAGATCCAGAAGAATTATTTTTTTCTGGGAAATTAACCATTAAGTCAGTGATAGTGCAATTATTATGTAAGAATGAAAGTGGGATTGAAGGTAACGAACTGTTTTCAATGATTTAAAGTTCTGTCTTCCATTTATAATACAAATCTATCTCCATGGAGTTAGGGTTCATGCCTTGGTTCCTTACTTAGGATCTGCATAGGGAGATATCACACCAGCATTTAAAAAAAACAAAAACTCTATGAGTGGTGGCCATATCACTCATAATTCTAGAGCTGTCCTAAAAGTCTCGATATCAAACACAGCCTAAAAGATGATTAACACATTCAGAGTTAGGTGGTCATGATTATAGAATAACTTGGGAATTAAACAAAAATATTTCTTGTAGTTTTGCAACATGTGTAGTTGCCTTTTGATAGCAAATATTGACATATTTTGCAATAGTGTATAATTTCCGATGCATGAATATCTCACATTGCCAACTACAAGTCCTGCACATGTAGATCTCACTTGCTAACTGAAGTTCTGAACTTCATGTATATTTCATTCAAGCTTTGATCTATAGCAGTTTTTAGTAAATAACTCACCTTTTCAGTTTAAAAGTACAATGCTATTTTTTAAAGGCTAAAACAATTACAAAAATGTTCTGCAATGACAAAAAGTCAACTTCAGCTTCAAATCCCTCTTCCGAGAGTAGGACACTTACCTTATCCAGGAAGCACAACTTTTCCCGGGTCTTGGCATCCAGAATCTCCACCTCAAAAAAAAGAACACCCCTTTTAGATTTCTTAGTAGGATGGTGTGGCCCTAAATCATTGAAATTTCTCTGAAGAGGCGGACACCCCTCTGCAGACAGCAAATTCCCATCCATGCCTCTTCACAAAGCAACAAATCTCAAAGAGTATGTTCAGTCAACAGACTTGTTCACAATAAGCTTCCTTTCCAAATGATTAACATTTAAGTATAGATCATTTCTGATCTGTGTGAAAATCTCAAAGAATAAAAGCTCCTCTTGAGATTAAGACCCAAAGTTCAGCCTTTCAAGCAATTCGGCTCAGCAAATAAAGGGGCTTCCCTTTTAGTCTGTTCTGTAGGTTGTGTTCCAAGGCGTAAGTCGATAGCATGGTAGCTGAACCACTATCCTTCTCAGCTAAATATAAAACTGAGCCCAGCAAAGAACTTCTTGTAAGCAGCCTCTTGGCCAATTAAGTCATATCAGGAAATTTTAAAGCCTTTTATTTTTATTTTATTTATTATGAAATTTATGTGCCACCCATCTCGTTTCAAAGTTAATCTTTCAATCAAAAAGACTATGCCAACCCATGAATGTCCAGATTTCACAAGCCATCTTTTGGGGAGGAAAAGGCACTCCGAAAATTCTCCCTTCAACTGCACATTAATATAGGAGGCTGCTTGGCAAAACTCACAAGTTTCTAGGATCTTAACCAGGTCTCTATTGATATTAGAACTTAGAATTTTTCTCTGTTACAGTAACACAAGAATCCAAACAGCAACAATTCCTAGGTATTTTTTGGGCTGGGGAGAAGCGTATCATTCTAGGACAAATTATTTAATGCTTGCTGTGGCACATGGAGTTGCCTCTGAATATAATTGGAAATTTCAACAGGTACAAAAAATGGCTGCTAAGATGTGGTCAGAATATTGTGAGATATAAGTCCACAGTGGCTTTATATGTTAGTGATTATATGTTTCTGGGCTAAGTTTATGTATAGACACTGTCTTAAATGCCCTTAATAATATAAGGCATTTAAAAGAAATTTACGACAGAATATTTCTGCACAACAGTCAAATTCTTCACAATTCTCTATTGCAATTTGATGTATCAAACATCCACAAACATCAAACATCCAACTTAGATTATTTTTTAGCTCAGAAAATATTCATAAAAAACTATACTGACTGGAACTTGTTTACAATAACTATAGATTGCTTGCTTTTTAAAAAATAACTAAGACAGCTAGTTCCCCACTGTATCATTGTTTCAGAGATATTTCCTTACTAGATTCCTCAACGCCTTTAACAATGGCTATTAATGTAATTGAAAAGTTGTTTAAAATTAAGAGAGGTATTCAGAAATGCATCTGCCTTGAAAGTAGCTCATGTTGCATTATATAGCACAATCAAAAGTCAACAATTGACCTAAGGAAATATTTTATGAGATTTTGTATTATGTTAAAAAATGCTTTATTATGATTTTTATGTCATAAAATGTTTTATAAAAATTGCCAAATTTCAACTGTATGGGAGTCATGGGTCCCGGATTTTGGACACATTTCATAAATTAGCTCATTTGAGTTACTGCCACCATCACAAATGCTGGCTAGTCACCAAGTACCCATCATGTGATCGTGATCACAGACTGCAAGGACACTGCAACCACCACAATCTCAAGCACCAATTGTGTTTCTTTTTTTTTAGCGCTATCAATTCAAGTAGTTGATGAAGTAGCAGTTGGTAAGGACCACCTGCAGTTTAACCCCCTAAATTAAAAATCCAATTCTTTTCTATTTTGTTATGATTTATATCCTAAGCCACTTTAATTATGTGAAACCTCCATGTTCAGAGTATATATACTTCTTAATGTCCAAAGAAAAGGACACAATATTAGGGAAGTGCTGGTATCTGTTATAGACTACAAGTACAGAAAACTGCTGTTATGAACTGGGCTGATCTTTAACATTTGTTCAGAACTCTGTTACTTCTACTGGTCTTATATACTGGGTCTCAGAAGAAGTAGAACCACTCTGATATAAGGGCTCAATTTTTCAACATTCATAAATATTACAAAAGTATACTGTTGTCAACCATATAAAAAAAACACTTGAGACATCTTGGGGGACAAAAATGCTCATGCTTCAAGTCCTAACTCACCTGTGAGAATCAATAGTGTTGTCTACCATAACTAGGGTGACTCAGTCCTTTACCTGGTCACTTTAAGCAGCCATTTCCACAACTGGCATAGGTTAGTTATCATGTCCTTAAAATTAAATTATCAATCCAAAAGAAGAACAATTATAATACACTTTAACTGGCTTTTTAGAAACAAGGAATCTAGTCCAAAAATAAATAAATAAATTGAAGATTGTAAAAGCTGTCTCCCTGTCTGTAAGCATATATTATCATATGTTGAAAATGTCCAAGATTGGTCACATGATCTCTGGAAACATGATGTCATTGAGAGCTATGGCCATGAGGGATTTAAACTTTTTATAGCAAGTTCATTAGGTCAGATTATATTTCTTTTAAAAGTGAAAAAGATCTAATGAAATACTGAACATTTTTAAAAGGGGGCCTTATTTTAATATTAAAATAAGTCCAACATGAGCCTTACTATCATTCCCCATTCAAAAAAATGGACATTCTGTTCAATTACAAAATACTACATTCCAAAACCTCATACAGATTTCCTCCTAGTTTTCTTATTTTATTTCAGCCCCTAGTTTATTCCTGAGAATAAACCAACAGGATTAAAATAATCTTCTAATGCTGATACGTTAAAATATCTAAAAAGGGGACAAGCAAAAGTGAACGCATGTAGGAGCTATTATTTTGACACAGTTTTAGCCCAATGAGTGACCAATCCTTTGCAAACCAGCTGTAATTATCTTGCTGTTCATCAAACTGGAAGTGTAATACACATAGTCCTCGACTTACAACCATTCATTTAGTGACTGTTTGAAGTTACATCAGCACTGAAAAAAGTGATTTATGATTATTTTTCACATGACCATTGCAGCATCCCATATGTCATGTCATCAACATTTGGACGCTTGACATGTATTCATGACAATTGCAGCATTCCGCGGTCATGTGATCAACTTCTGCAACCTTCTGAAAAGCAAAGTCCATGGAAAAGCCAGACTCACTTAACAACTGTAGCAAAAACGTAATAACTACAGTACAGCGATTAATGTAATAACTACAGTATAGTGATTCTTGCTCACCCACCAAAATTTTGGGCTCAGTTTTGGTAAGTCAAGGATGACCTGTAACTAGCCTTCAAAAGTTGCTAATGTTTGTCCCTTGATATTCTATGCTTTCAGAATAAGGTTATTCATAATGACAGGATCTTGCATCAGATTAATTATACTATTATACTCAACTTTACAAAGCTTTTCTTATATAAAATAAATGTAATCATCACTCTTTCCAAAAGACAGAAACATAATCTCCTTCTTCTCTTATTTATGTAAGAGCTTAGCTCTTTGAAATTAAGAGCTGTCTCGAGTGGGACAAAAATTTGGAATCTGTTCAGCATGTCCAACAGATAGCAAGGACCAGCTCCAAACAGGGGTATTAATAGAACTGTGCCTCAGACAGGAATGGTCACTCTCATACTTCAGAGCTTCTAAAACGAAGAATTTATTCCAGTGGAAAGCGACACATAGATCACACTGACCAAATTAAGCTACTGTAAACTACAATCAGTTGCGCAGCAAGAACTGAAGATAATACGATCTACGAAAGGAGAGAGTAAAGCCCCAGAAAAACAACTTGATGCTAAAGAAATACAAGAACCATTAGAATATTGAAAATAAAGCAGTCTCCAATTGAAGCCTTTCAATAAATCTGTGGGGAAATTTTTTTAAAAATCACCACGAAAGTAAGAAGAACTACTAATCCAGACAGAAGCAACCTGATACAAAAAAAAAGACAAGAAGCTCTGGTAAGTGTTGTTGGTGTGAAGGGTGAGGGGAGATAGTGGAATTTAGAGATCAACATCTGAATTGCTTATCCTAATAAGACTTGCATATACTGCAGACTATTTCAAACACACATTTTACACAAGAAATTTTGCAAATAAGGGTGGGGTTCCCACACATCATTCTTAACAAGTTGCTTGGCTAAGCATTGAAGTGAAAATAAAATATAAAAATGCCGAGAGGCATACAGCATATAGGTAGGACCATTTTCCCACTATGTGGCCTCAACTAAAATTGTTGTCACTTACAACTCAACGTTGAAAACTTTCCAGAAGTCTATTTTCTAGAAGTCTATTCATAATGCCACATTTCGATGTAACATACTTTGTCAGGCTTCATTTAAGTTAGTTATGTGGTATTTCTACTGACTATTTCAATTGTTGCTCTAATTAACTCTGTTTCTATATAAATCTGAGATTGGGATTTATCTACAAAAGGACAAATAGACTGCAGAAGTAAATAAATCTGTTGTACTTAGTGTAGGCTTGTGCTGGTAGAGAACTAGAAAGTTATTAAATGTGTATAATTGACAATGGCTATCTGCAGGACAGATTAAACCTATGCATGGCGAAGTGGCTACTGACCGTTGCACACTCAATCTACTGGAAGAAAGAAAATTGCATATAAAGTTTCCTGGAAAATCAAAAGCTGGATCCAGTTCCATAGCTCTACGACTACAATTCAAGATGAAATTGGACAAGCAAACATAAGCAGCAGGCATACCCAGAATGTTTATGCCTGTAAGTAGTATAGTTATGATCCATCCACTCTGATTTGTTCTGAGGTCTTTATTTGACTATAGCACAGAAGCAGCCGCTTGAGATGTGGGGGGCTGCGGGGACGGGAAAGCATAAGCTTGGCTGGCAATGACTACTACAGGTACATGTGCAGTTGCCTAAGATCAGAAGAAGAATATCAGAAAGGATATTATGGTTTTGCTCCCCACCCCACTTGGTCTCAGATGCAACTGAAGACAGTGCAAGAATGTGGTAACAGTATCTCTTAATTCCCCACTGACTGAAAATATTAACAACTCAAACTTGTGTCAGATTCCCTGCTATCCATCTAACACATTCACAAAGATATAACCATTAAGAAGTGTATGTCCCAAAAGAAAATTTCATTACTTATTACTGTTTCCATAATTAAGATCTGTTCTTCAAGATACACAGCCTAAACCACAAACTTAGATCTCCTAACAAAAATTCTCTGCACAGCTTTGCTTCGGAAACCAAGGTAGCTAAAAAAAATTTCCAATTTATAAAAGGGACAGCAGTGGACCTGGTGCCAAGAGGCTCTTCGGAAAACATTTGACACCTTTCTGATTGGCCCAATGAAGCATCTTTGAGATGTAACAAGATGGTTAATTGTCATTCAGTCATTATAGTGACAGCAAAGATAAATAATCTATAAGAGGATATGGAAATGTGGTAACAGATTGGTTCAACATATTGTTATTAGGGTTGGTTGCACAACCAGCAAGATGTTTAGGCTAGATTTGCCATTTTAATCCACTTATCAAGTCCTTCCCAAGGCCCTAGCTAGGTAGAAGTTGCGGTTTTGATGATGTAAAGATATTGTCACAGAATGTAAGCTATTCCAGGTAAAGTTGCCTTTTGCAATTGACAGGTGATGATTTTGTCAATGCCAATGCTGTTCAAGTGCTCTAGTCGCTTTCATATTGTACCCAGCATAGCTATTATTATCTTTGCTTTGAGGTCAGTTCCAGTCAATGTTGATAGAGGGAGACAAATCCAGCCCAGGGGTTCCACTTTGTGGAACGCCTCAGGATTTGATTTTCTTTCCCCTTCTATCTAGCATTTACACGAAGCCACTGGGTGAGGTGAACTGTTGGTTTGGGATCAGGTATCATCAATGTCATGGATGCAAAATGGGCTCCAACTCAACCCTAGCAAGATTGAATGGCTATTTGGATACTCCAAAGACATGGTTCTTCCATTTCTGACTGAGGCTGTACTATCCCAGACAGACTTGATACATAATTTAGGAGCCCTCCTAGACTCATGACTCCTATTCAAAGAGCAATTGGCAACCATGGCTAGGTGACTGTTTGCCCATCTTTGGCCCAACTGCACCCATTCCTGGACTAGGAGAGTCTGCTCACCATCACTATGCCCTTGTAACCTCTTGTTTAGATTACTGCAACAATTACCACTCTAGATGGAGCTGCCCCTGAAAATCATTTGGAAATTCAACTGGTGCAGAATAGCACTTAGCAAGAGCACTTAGACCTATATACCGCTTCATAGGGCTTTTACAGCCCTCTCTAAGTAGCTTATAGAGTCAGCATATTGCCCCCAACAATCTGGGCCCTCAGCATGCTGCAGAATGTTGCTGCGCTAGTAAGAAGTGCCAAATATGCAGCACACATGACACTGCTATTGCATGAGCTGCATTGGTTACTGATATCTTTCCAGGTGCAATTTAAGGTGGTCACCTTTAAAGCCCTATATGGCTTGGACCAAGTAACTTGAGGGACTGCCTTTTTCTGAGAGTCTCTATTCATCCAATTAAATCTAGCACACAGATATCAAACTTGCGGCATCATGTTGCCATCACATGACCATTCACAGAGCTGGGGTGGGTGTGGCCTGCGTGTGACACATCTGGCTCACAGATTGTCAGTTTGATACCCCGATCTAGAAGATTGGACATGCTGTAGATCCTGTCAACCAAAGAGTGTTATCTGGCAGGAAAGAGAATATGGGACTTCTGTGCAGTAGCCACTGCGTGTTTCTAATTTGTCCATCTTATAGCAGGGATGTCAAACTTGTGGCCCGCACGCCAGATGCGTCACATGCTGGCCCTGCCCCTGCCCAGTTTAGCGAAAGGGGGGAAAAGTCACAATACATCACATGACACTGCCGTGATGATGCAAGTTTGACACTCCTGGTCTATAGTGTGCAATTTGAGCTTCTTATCGGTGGAGCTTCTTGACTTTAGCTGTTACTTGCTTCTTTATTATTTCTAGTGGTTGCTTGATCTTCCTTGTTTCTAGATGACATTTCTTCATCAGTATTCTTTGGTCTTCTTGTCTTCAGCTTCTTTTCTGGCATTTACTTTAACTTCATCAGATCTAATCTTAGCATGTAGATCTTATTTTTCAACAAATCTTCCACTTAGATGGTGCACTAGCTTTTTTTTCTCGTTTATTGATTTTGCATCTAGGGTATTCAGTTATAACTACAGTCATGCTAGACATTAATTAGTTTGTTTCTTACAGTGAGCTTTTGCTTATATTTGGTATCACAATATTGTCAACTTTAATACTTTAGTTCAGGGGGTGTCCAACCTGGGCAACTTTAAGACTTGTGGACTCCAATTCCCAGAATTCCTCAGCCAGCAAAGCTTTGCTGGCTGAGGAATTCTGGGAGTTGAAGTCCACAAGTCTTAAAGTTGCCCAGGTTGGACACCCCTGCTCTAGTTCTTTCTTTGGAACAAAATTCAATGCAAATAACCTTATTCTGATGTTTTTGTGCTATTCTAGGTGCTCAAGCATACTTTGTTTCAATTCCTCTTGTTTTTTTGTTTAAAAGGGCTTTGGTCAAAAGTACCTGCTTTGGGAATGAAAAGAATTCAACAGCTATCCTAGCCTTTTCTACTACCAACTTCCCCTGGTTTGCCTCTACAGTCTGACCTACTTCTGGTAAGACTTTCATTTCTTTACCCTGTGTAGACCTTTGCAATTCTTCCAATGCTGCTTCTACTTTTATTTCACATTATAAATGGATGCTGATATGTTAGTCTTTGTTATTTCTGATTCTAGATGCTGTTCTTTCCAGAATTGGTACATTCTTTTCTCTTTTCCTCCCTCCCTCCCTTTCTTTTATACAATAACTTAAGGTAATGAACATCATCTTCTCATTGGATTTAATTTGTACTCATTCATTTTTTTGTTTTGTTTTCAGTTTTTGTATATCTGTGACAGATAAACAACCTTTCTTTCAATAGTCCTGCAGCTGTGGGTTCTGGTTGCTCAGCTAACAGTCTTTAGTCCTGCAACTCATTTGTCACTATATGTCCAGAAACTCAAATATCTAGCATGGTTCTTGTTGACATGGGTGATGACAAATGTCAGGGCTGCCATTCTGCTAAGCTACACATTGCAAGCTGACAGCCTTACATTGTAATTAAGGGGGTGAGGGAGCAGAGGGGGGATGTTTTGGAGAACATGGGGATATCCATGTAACACCTATCTACAAGTCATTAAAATTACTGCATTAGTACTGCCTTTCAGTAGTAGTGAAAAGATGTGCTTGATATCAGGACTTGCAGAAGATGCTGCATGATCATTCAAGCAAGTCTGAAATGCCCTTTTGTCTTTGAATCCAAAATCCAACTGTTGGGTTCTTACATCATTCTGAATGTTTTAACCCTGTAACAATTATTGGAATAAGCCATAATGTCTAGATTCACAGAACAGACTAAGTCTAAATCCAACAAGTCACATTATAGCTTAGTAAACAACAAATACAGCATAACACAAGGGAAGTCTGTATTTTATCATATGAAAATCCACATTATAGAACCTTAAACAGGACAGACTACAGCATAACACTAGTTCCTATTTAAAGTTCCGTGATACAGATTTCAAACCTTTCTCCATTTGCCCTTTACCTCTTATATAAACGTCATTTTACATGGATAACATTTGCTTATTGGGTCCACAAAGTGAGATAAACGTAGGTCACCCTTAGCTGTTTTGCAACAATATTAGCGTTTCTGCCCTTAAGCTACAGATAACAAGTTGCCAAACATATAAAACTGACATATTTCACTGTTTATTCCATCATGAGTGATAAAAATTAAGTACTTATTATTCATTTTAAGCCAGTATGGACAATTCTCCCTCCAATTCCTAGCTCATGTCTTCTACTGCTGCTTTGTTTTTCTCTCAGATTATAAGCGTTCAAGAAGCATGGAAGATATTTTTCAACTTTTGCATAGAGATGGGAGCTTTTCCCTGATCTTTTCTGGAGGAGGTTGCAGCAAGCACCAGTGCATGCTACAGTAGCATTTTTAAAAGAAATTTGCTACCTACAAAAGGACTGATGCTGTATAACACGGGTGTCAAACTCGCCATGTCATGTTGCCATCATGTGACATTTTGCAATGTTTTTCCATTCGCAGAGCTGGGGTGGGCATGGCCTGCGCATGGCGCATCTGGCCCGCAGGCCTCCAATTTGACACCCTTGCTGTATAATGTTTGCTTGCACTGTTGCCCAAGAACACTAGACTCCCTCTTCGGTTTTTCAGAACTAGGGGAAATCAGTATTTGTGTTCATTCACAGATCACTGTGTGTGGATGTAAGCTCCTTTTCATTTCCCAGTGCGTAGTCTTTGAAAGAGGAAGGATACAGAAATGCACAGTTGCTACGTCCACCTAATTCCTGGATCACTTTAATAATTTGGAGATGTTTTCTACCATCTAATGACATTAGAGGGGGAAAGGAAACTAAGATAGAAGAATTAACTATTTTCATTAACGCACTTGCAGGTGGACAGTGATGTGATGACCCAGAGTATATCAGAAATATAACAAAATCCAAAATGTAAATAAAAGTCCTTTAATGCCTTCAACTTGGCTTCACTGTTTAATTGTTCACAGTGGAGGAGTAAACTATTTTTAAAATAACATTTCAAAGGAAAGAAACACAGTTCAAATTCAAAGAGCCGATAACAAAGCAAAAACCAAAAACAAACCGCACTGAATAAAGTTCCATGACAGACCAGGATAGATAATTGCCAACTTCAGGCAGATAACCAGGTTGGAAGAACGCCAACCAAGATAAACCTTCTTTAGGAATAAAACACTAATTTGTCTCCAGCGTCTGTTAGCACACAGGTCCAAACTCTTATGCAGATCTCACACCTGCAACCCATGAAAAGGATCATGGCCCTCTCCTCCAAGTACACCTCATTTTACCGTGATCCTCTCCTTCTTACGTGCCCTAGGATGGATAGTGGATGGGCCTGAATCCTCCTCTGACTGCTCAGAGCCAGTTTCCACCAGGGGCATGACAGTCAGGATACTGATAATGGTCAATGTAGAATAGTTTTCTACAGATCCAATAGATTTAGAATATACTGTATTTTTCGCTCCATAAGACGCATCTGACCATAAAGATGCATCTAGGTTTAGAGGAGGAAAACAAGAAAAAGAAATATTCTGAACCAGAGCCTGAGAGGACCACAGATAGGTGTCCTCTCAGGTGCCAGCTCTGCCTATTGACTCCTGCACTGCAGAAAAGAGACAGAAGAGGTGGGCAATGACTAAGTCAGAAGAGGTTCAGCACCATAAAAGGACCCTGCCGCCTCGGCCCAGCTGCTATTCACCAAAAGACCAGCACCGGTACATTGTTGGGGGCCCTGAGGTAATACATTTCATGGTCTGTGATGCAATATTAGCTCCATAAGACACATAGACATTTCTAGCAACTTTTTTGGGGAGAGGGAAGTGTGTCTTATGGAGCAATAAATACAGTAGCTAGGCAACAAAGGCAAAAGATATCATCCTAGAATAGTTTTCTACTAATCCATGGATTAATTATTCAGCAACAGGAATAGATCCTATGTCGGGCTGCAATGAGGTATTGATTTTTCTGCTAAATATCAGTTCATATTTAGGGGAGGAAAAAAAAACCAGGAAAAAAATGGAGATCTTATTTGAAATGCATGTTCTCCAAAATTAAGCTAACAGCACCCTCTGGTGTACCAACAAAACTTCAACAACTAAAAGGCTTACAGCTGCTCTACAAAGCAAATTCTCCTCCATGCTGCATCAAGAGCCCAGGATAGGACAGGATGGGTTGACTCCTTCCTATGATGTCATTTAGCTGAGTCTGTACTAAGATATAAAAGCCAGACCCCGGAAGTTACCACAGCTTTTGACTCAGCTCCTTTCAGTCAGTAGCTGTGTTTCTGAAAGCTTTCTGTCAGTTAGCACTCACCAGCAATCTTCAGTACCATTTTTCCTCGCTTCAAGCAGCTCCCAGGGCAGCTGCTCTTCCAAGAGAGCAGGGCTCTCTCTCCTGCAACATTGGGAGCAGTGTTGCCAGAGTGCTGTTCAGGCAAGTTGGGCAGCGTCTGTAGACCTCCCCCACGCCTGCGGTTTGAGCGGTCGTAAAAAGCGAATGGAAAACTGATAACAGCATCAGCCAGCTGAGGTTCTGTAGATAGCACTCACCAGCGATCTTCAATACCTTTTTTCCTCGCTTCAGCAGCTTCCAGGATCTGGACAGCTGCTCTTCCAGGAGAGCAGGGCTCTCTCTCTCTCCTGCAACTTTGGGAGCAGCGTTGCCAGAGCGCTGTTCAGGCAAGTTGGGCAGTGTCTGTAGACCTCCCCTACACCTGTAGATTGAGCGGTCTAAAAAGCGATCGGCAAACCGATAACTGTGTCAGCCAGCTGATTGTGTGGCCAGAGGCTGCCCTTTCCTTTGCTGACTTTGTTCGGGGCTCTTTATAGCCTAAGGAACGATTCTTCGATCTTGGAGCCTGTTTCCGATAGTCAGCAGCCATCTTGGATTGAAGCCTTCCACCACGAGGTGAGCAGCCATATTGTAAGCCCGGGGGCCATTTATACCCTAAGGGGCTTAATAGAAAAATTTACAGTTTCTTTCCATCACAAGAGCCTTTTATTCTACAGTGGAGCAAGATAAGGGCCAGGCAGAGCTTTTCCCCCCAGTGGAGCAGTCTCTTAAGCCAATAAGAGAAAAAGACATAGGCAACGCACCCAATCGGTCCAGAGGGAGGTGGCTGCTAAAATCAGAGCTAAGGCTCTAGCCCCTAAGAAGGCAACTCAGGCTGAGTTGAGGGCAGAAAAGCTCAGACATGCAGCCCTAGAGCGGCAGTTCAACAGAACTATTCAACAAAAGGGAGTGCAATTACAGCAGGTTTCAGGTGATACCTATGGGCCCCAGCCAAGCCCTCCCAGGGGAGGAGAAGTTATCTTGAGCCTTTCCGTCCTCCATCCTGGTCTCCTGAAGCTTTGGCAGTACAATATGATCCTCAGGATCTAAGCAGATCTGGGCCTTATTTCCAGCAGGCTTCTGGGCCCTATGCTCCTTCCCCTCCCTCCAGGCCTCGAACCTCTTCTCAATCTAGGCCTGAAGCTACCTTCACTCCCACAGCAGCGGGCCTTCTGCCTTCTGCCTCTCCTTTGAGCATAGACCAGGGAATATCCAAGATGTTGTCTCATTGGCCATTAGGCAGGGATTGGCTGAAGGCTTCAAGCAAATTCTTCAACCTCTGGAAAGGGCTCAGACCCTTCTCCCTTCTCAATCTATAAGTTCCCTGCCTCATCACCCTGATTTAGGGTGAGGCCTTTGACCAAAATCTTTCAGAGGAAGAGGACTCTCACCCAGAGCAGACATCCTCTGCATTGGTCTTCAATCCTTCTCTCTTCAGGCCATTACTCAGCAAGGCCTTGGTCACTGCCAAGCTGTCGCCAGAGGAAGTGGCTCCTGAGCCACAAGGAAATCCCTCTAGCCAGGGAGACGCACTCTTCTCCAAGCCTGTAGTGCATGCAGGGGTTTTGCCTTCTCCCACTTTGCTCCTAGTCATGGTCAAGGAACAGTGCACTTCTCCTTTGGCAGGTCCTCACCCATCTTCTCTGGATAAGCATTTCTACAACGTCAGCGCAGCCCT